TAACAATAAAATAAAATTTTTATTGCATCATCTGTCTATTTTAAACTAAAAATGTCATTATGAATGGCTTTTAAGTTTTTGGTTTGAAATAAATAATTATTTTTAAGAACTTACAAATGAAAGCAAAGAAGAATATGTAATAATATTTCACCAAACTACATCTGTTATATCATGTGCCGACGAGACCTTTCGCCCTATACCAGAGTTAATACGACAGACATGACAGAAATCTAGACACTATTTTTATCGTCAATTCTATGAATAAAGACTGTGATGGTGTGAACTAAATTAAGTTAGGGAATTGTAATTATTATCTATTTTATTAGAAATAACTTGTATACCGACATGATATATGGAGAGTTAATCGGTCTTTGTAGGAGAGATTTGTGGATACTGATTAATGCAGAGATGTATTGCCAATGATGCAAGCCATGGCACCCCGTAAGTTATGTTTAGCACCTCTGTATCTGGTTCACGTCAAACATCTATCCATTCGATAGCGCAAATGCTACCACAAGTATAGACTTGTGTCGCAGCTCTTTCTGGGCAAGTGTATTCGTATAACAAAAGTTACAAGACACATTTCAGCTTTCAACGCTTTTCATAGCAACGGCTGTTTTCGTGAGAAGGATGCCCGAAGAAACTGGAATCACAGCAATTCCATTCAATAACATACCTGTTAAGTCTCCAGAGAAGCTTCATTGAATTTTTGTACTTTTGGTCTATTTAAGCTCGCTCTACGTAAAGTTGATGGTTTGTGAAAAGTTTGTCCATAAGTGTGGTCTTAGATAGACCACACGTTTTTTTTTTGTTTTTTTTTGTCAGAATCTTGTTACTATGGAATTTGCAGCGTCGTGCAATATTATGTAACCATGGCTATCAGACTTAATACGATCGATGTTGTGGAGGAAATAGTTCTCAGGGCATGTGGAATGTCGCTCATATAAAGCATGATTAACCTCATATATCGAGTATTGCGCCAGTTAATAAGGCGAATGAAGTATTTTTAAGATCATCGTTGTTTAAAGTAGATCTACTCTGAAATACGTTAACAATTATGTAAGGTTATAAAGTAGATCTACTCTGAAATACGTTAACAATTATGTAAGGTTATAAAGTGATTACGTTTGAGTACGAAAGATTTACTTTATTTCATGTTTGACATTTCTAGGCAAGCTATTTCGATTTGGAAACATCTGCATGTTTTTATGTAAACTATTTTTTTTTATCCAGTTGAATTAATTTAGAGAAAAAAATCCTATACCGTTTACTATTACAAAGTCCCTCGCGAATTCTTGAAATTGGACACCGTTATGAGTTTTAATACAGTTGATTATATTTGTGAAATTAGTTAGTTGATTAATAATCTTACGGTCAGGTTAGACATGTTGCAACATTACAGCTCATAAGCAAAATCTCGCTTTTATGTATTGAGTGCATGAGCAAGCATCAAAGAATGGTTTGGATAATACATTAAATTGTCAAGCATTTTTTCCTGAGAGGAGGTTCATTGGTACCAAACGTATAGTGTAATGAAGCATTATGAAATACTACTGTTAAGGACACATCTTATTTATTAAGGACCAGTTATCGCCAACGCTGCTGACTTTCAGAAAATGATTGATCAATCACCCGTCGCCCTGCTCTACTTGCTACTTTATATAATCTTCATGCTCAAGGAAAACTGGTTCAGTGCACTTACTACTAAGGTAGAGGGGTAGAGATTCATTTTATTTTTGTAATGAATCTTTAAATTAACCTTAATCTACATTGTTTCTTTTTTAGGGGGGAGAGGGGTCATGTGTTCTAGAAGTTTAATATATGTGTTCTATTTAGAAAACATCACAACTTTTGTACTAAACTTGAGAAGGCATATATATACATTCAGTTTCAAACAAATCGATCTAATAATTTGAACTTGATATTTTATATTTCTTTCACACATTTTTTTTGGTTGGGCCACCCATCGAATTGATGTACATTATTCCTCAAAACATATCTGTTTTAACACTATTTTCTAATCTTACACTTTGGCATAGTTTTTTTTTCATAGACTTCTTGGAATTGAATAATTTAAAAAGCAAATATTCCTAGCTAAATTATGTTATTTGTTAAGGTATAAATAGTTATTGGAAATGATGCGTAGGTTACACTTAAAGGTTCATATTTGTCACTATGAACTATATTTTGATTTTATTATTTAGTTTTAAATACAGGAATATAGGGTTAACAATCCTCGCATATTGCCAAACAGGCAATTGCTGTGTAATGTTGTGGCTGATATGTGATTACTAAACATTACCCAACGAGACTAAGGAATGACTTTGGGGAGAAATTTCTAGATTTGTTAGTGAATGGTAATATCTAGTACTTATTTCATTGCATCTTGGAAGATACAGCCATAAGAGTTGAAATTACAATAGAAAACTTATATTGAACATATAAAAGTGTTCTTTACACAATCATTGAAAACCAGCACACATACAATCTTATTATATAGAACAAAGACATGTTACTTCATGGGTGTTTCTGATAGCTCACATTAGTTTACTCATAACCGATTTCCTTAAGTTCCAAAAATAACATACAATCATCGCAACGACGATGACTTCTGAGGCTACTGTTACGTCTTCAGTATGTAATGACTCGTGGAGAATAGAATAAACATTTACCACAGGAAATATTCTGCAGGAATCTGTTGATAACACTGGGAGGTGAGTGTAAAAAAGACAGTACTCAAACAGGACATAACAATGACGATAATGTTTTTTATCGACAACAATTTTTACCCATTTAAAGTGTACCAGCAAATGCGCCTTGGGTAGTTTGAAATGCCCGATCAAATGATATAGCTTTGTTGTTATAAATGTGAGCTAGTAGAGAAAACCGTTTGTCCATACACAGTATATTTTTGTCATTTATTTAAAATACGGACTAGCAATATTACTTCAAGAGTTTCCTTTCCTTTGTTTTTTTTTGTTTTGTAAATATTGATAACTGAAAACAGCACAAAGTTTATGCGTCAAACAAAAAAAAGTATTTTGTTACAGATATATCTTAATGAACTACTTATCCTTGTATTTATGAAATTATAAATTTATTGCAGCCCTGGGCATGTGTATTATAATGCATTTCTTTCTCTGTTTATTCCAAAATATTTAATATTGTACTTTATCTTCGTGAAGTGAAGAACTAAATAAATATTGATTTGATTTAGTTTAACTCCGGATTTCGGAGCTGGTAAGCCTGGTTAGATTTCGTGCGATATCACAAAATATTCCCCGCACTTTAAAACGTGAATGTGTTATAAGGGTGATAGTCAATCTCTTAGCGTGAGTGGTGGGTGGTAGAGTGCCACTGATTGGTTAATTTTCCTATCTTCAATAGTGTAAAATTAGGGACGGCGGCTTTAGTAGCTTTTCCATAAATATAAATTGAACAAAATTAAATTATGCATAACTGTCAAGAAAGTGCCTGTTTAAAATGAGAAATCGTGAACACTTGTCACACGTTTCTAATGAAACAGTTACTTTGACAATTTTTCAGTGTGTTGTCTATTATAGACATTTTCCTGGGAGGTTTAAGTAAAATTTATTGAAGAAATAGAAATATGAAAATCTACTATATATATATATACTTGCTTGCAAGAGACTTTTGTGTTTTTTTGAGCGATTTGACATATCTTAATTATTATTATTATGTGCCCGTTCAAGATATCACAGTATTCACGAACAAGAAAACAACATTACTTTAAGATATTAGCATTCGGGAAATATAACCATGGTAAAATTACGGGCAACCAAAGTATAGCCAAAAATATGAATGAAAGTTATTAACTTTTTAAATACGTTATTTTTTTTCTGTAAACATATTAGATCTATGTAAAAGGTTCACATGTACGCATTCATGACATAAAATACTGCATTATTCTTGTTTTGATACATTTGAAGTGTGAACAAGATCCCAAAAAACAGTAACTAATAATTAAATGATATTCAACACGTTTAGTTTAAAATTCCAACAAACTTTCATGTGATGCAAAAACGTCTCATCTATTTTTTTAATAACCGGTTACTTACTAAATTCATCTCCGTTTAATAAACCTCTCCGATTCAACACTAAATAAATTTTAACGAAAGCTAGTGGAGAGTCTTACAACTATACAAAAATCACCTTCAACCTCTGGTAAATGCACTGGGTTTTGTAGAATCTGCCTTCAAAACTATAGCATTTACCGATAGTTAAAGAGTAACACTTGAGCTAAACGAAAAAACATAGAGACGGTAATGAACATTATTTTTTCATGTGTGAAACGTTTGTATAATTAAGACGTCTATTTGGTGAGTTATTTATCGTATTCTTTCTGGGATTCGTAACCTCGTACACGTTTGTGTGACATGTCATTTTCGAAAAATATATAACTATCTTAAACAAAAATTTAAAATCATCATTAATTAATAAACTGTATTTGACTAACATAGTTACAAGAAATTTATGAATATCTATTATTTTATTTATTCCAAAAATATTTAATGTATTTAACACTATATAACAAAGAGTAACTGTTATGCTTCCGAGGTACAGAAATGTATATACCTCGTGATATTATTTAGTTTTATGCTCGTCCCTTACCTCCGATGAAATAATAGAATAAACGTACTCGTATTATTTAGCTGTATATTTCTGTAACATAACAGTAACCTAATTTTATTTCTCTATAAAGAAATGTTTGCATGCATACTCACTTAAAATATTGTGCCATAATTACAGTAAAAATTATATTACATAACTTTTGTTTTGAATGAAAATTTTATCTACTCATAAATTTCTCATTAAAACTGGATCAAGTTTAATAAACATTGAAAATCATGCTCTACATATTTGCATGGTACATTTTAAAAAGTGTATAATATTATTATTATTATAACTTCGTTTACTGAAATGTATCTATTTAGTTGTATACATATTTTAAACAAAAAACAAGTCTCATACACAGTTACCTTCTTTTCTCCCTGCGAAGGCCGGAAACAGTGAAGTAATGAAGAAAAATTGGAAAGAGACCAAGAACGCCTTTTTATGATTCGTCATCCTGGATATAGTAATTCTTGAAAACAAAATATACACCTATAACAAAGGAAGATGACAAAATTATCTTTGTACAGAACTTTACTGAACTGAAAATGTTCTAAAACAAAAAAATATCGCTGTAACTTCTCATATTCTAAGGTTGACTGACAATAGTAAGACAAGTGTGAATTATATGGATTTTCATATAATAGGCAATTCTTCCAACTACAGCATGAGGGAAGTAATAGCTATCATTCGAATACTATATTACAAAACTATAACCGTTGAAAATGTGAAATATTGCTATAACGTAGTATTCTAACTATATTTAGGAATATATATCTAATAATATAAAGATTTATATAACCCTACGAGTATATGAAAAACGTTAGATCAAGTGAGAGGGTTAATAAAGTAGAGGATAAGCATATGATATTAATTTCAGAAAAAAAATTACTTAGCAAATTAAACATAAGTCAAACATGAATTAGCCTATCTGTTTTAGCTACTCATACACGGCATGTTAAAGTTACTTTCATGTCTATTCTATTCGTTAGTATAAATGTTATCTTTTGTAAGCATAATATACCTTCGGCATTAAGCATTATATTCACATTAAAATGAGTGCTTCATGATATGAGTTTCCATAAAATGTTGCCCCCCAGTGGCACAGCGGTATGTCTGCGGATTTACAACACTAGAATTTGGGTTTCGATACCCGTAGTGGGCAGACCACAGATAGCCCTTTGTGTAACTTTGTGCTTAATTACAAACAAATAAACCATAAAATGTTACTTTTATCACAATTGTGGGTTACATTTATACACTGCTATATTTATCTTAATTTTGATATATTTAACGCGCACTCACAAAACATTGATTCAAATCATTTTTGTATTAACGATAAGTAATAAACATTATTACTTTTTATAAATTGTGTAAACATGCATTATTTATATTTGTCTATGGCTTAATGGTGAGTAATTCCAGTCTATGAATCCGAGAATTCATGGCTCGCATCCATTGCCGTTAAAAACATTCTGTACTTTGGAGTAGTGACTGTGATATAAGAGTGACGGTCAAATCCCAATATTCGTAAGATAAAAGCGGCCGTAGAGTTAGCCGTTGGTGCTGTTAACTAACTACCTTTCTTTAGTACGTCAGTTTAAAATTAGGAATAGCTATGTGCAAATAACCCTTGTGTAGCCTGGCGCGAAATTCTGAAACAAACAATTTGACCGTTATTTGTACGCTACGACCGACTGAAAAAACATAGGTCATCTTTACACCTCACTTAAGGCAAGTCAGCTTTCAAGTTCCTTTCTTAGCTGATCCAAAAGTTTCAGATGAATTTTGTCATGGACGCAATGATTTCTGCATGCTAAATAAGATAAAAATAGAAATTATTAGGACACAAAAATTGACACGAGCTGAGCATATGACTACCAAACTGCTTTAGAATTTGTGACAACTGATATAGGGTTACAAGCAGTCGACAAAGTTGTACGTGTTTGAAACAGAAAAAACCTTCTGTTTATGGTTATTAAGGGCCTGTATTGTGCCGTGATAAAAATCGATGTGTTATAATAAAGATATTTAAAATGGAACATTGGTGTTTATGTGTTTCTCAGTTCTATTTCATATGGTTTGTTTATTTTGAATTTCGCGCAAAGCTACACGAGGGCTATCTGCGCTAACCGTCCTTAATTTAGCAGTGTAAGACTAGAGGGAAGGCAGCTAGTCATAGTAATCACCACCCATCGCCAACTCTTGATTGACCGTCACATTATAACGCCCCCACGGCTGAAAGGGCGAGCATGTTTGGTATGGCGGGGATTCGAATCTGCGACCCTCAGATTGCGAGTCGAGCGTTCTAACCACCTGGCCATGCCGGGCCTATTTCATATGGAGTCGTATCACATGTGCACAATATCAAGACCACAGAAATTGTCTCACTAGAGAAAAGACATGAGAGTTCAAAATCCATTTCAACAGGTATTTTTGAACGTTATTCTAAGATTAATTCCAGAAAGTTGTTGTTTATACAATATTTAGTTGTTTCGTTTTGGGTAAACTATATATACATATGTAGAGATAGAGATTCTATAAATATTTAGCTTTTACTTTCTTGAATGTTTTCTGTCGACAAGGTTGAACTAATGTTTGTTGAACCGGTGCGAAAACAGTTTGTTGAGAAAAAAAACGAAAAAACCTACCACGGCTTTTATGTAACACGAACAGATTACTTTTTTGCACTGCGCACAGTGAGCGAGGCCATCTGTAAACACTACTAACGAGAATGTTGGGAATGGTAACTATATACATACATACATAATAGTGTGATGGAATTACGACAGTGGATTCAGTTATTGAATAACGATCCTTTCCTTTTCTGAAATAAGAAAAATGTCAAATTACAAAAACAATTTCCGCTTTTACTTGTCTGAATTTTCAGTCTGTTTTTGCTTCATTTACGTTCATCGATTCACATACGATTATTAAAAAAAAACATTCAAGAGCAACATCTTACTCTTAGTAAATCCTTGGTCAAAATTTCTTATATAAATGTATTTACATTTTACTCCATTTTCAACGGAATCATTTCATGCTTAATAATGTTAAGTTACACGTAGATGTGTATTAAAGTGATATAAAAAGTAATAAATATTTGTGAAAACCATCTGTGTAACAAATTTGCTAGATATAGCCCTACCTAATGTCATAAATCACTACAACAGATATAATGGCAAGTCAGAAATAAATGTCAGTTTCGTATTCATGTAACTAATATATTCATCAATAATACATTCCAATTACTACTATAGGATAACTTGAAGCAGCTCAGCTCAAAGATAAGATATTATGAGTTGGTGTGTGGTGTTCTCAGGCATCCCGATTTCTCATAAGAGTAATTGGGTAGGATCGACAGATTAACAAGAGTTTCGAGTATAAAATTATTTGATAGAGTAAATCCGAATTTTCTGGATGTGACTGAGCGGTGAAAAAGAATGAGACTGTAGACAGTGTGAAATACAATGAAAACCATCATTATTTATTGCACAAGCAAACGAAATCTGAGTGTATTCAAGGAGGACGGCTCTTTTACTGGAGACTGAGATTTTTCAGAAATACTTGCTGGAAGTCAGTAAAATACGTTCACGACTGAGAAAACATAGTATTAAATATACGAAGCAACAATGACATACTTTCCCGGAGTGTGTGCAATACCTACATCACTGTTGGTCATTCCCATTGAAAAATAAGGGTGGGTGTTGTATTCTCAAGGTATCACTTGATCCGCCAGTGGAAAAAAGCTTCAAGTATCTAATGTTAAATACTGTATTTTATCTGATGTTTTTAATATGGTGTATATTGGTTTGTTTACTATTTACTTCTACCTAGTATGTTTGACTTTATAGAAATCTTTACCACGAGAAGGTTCACGTGATACTAAAGGTGAGTGAGCTGGAAAAATACATAACTTGGACGAAAGGTGCTTAGCTAATTCACTGACTGAAGTTCTATATTAATCCTAATCACGTTAATATGCTCGAAAAGTTTGAAGAACGTTAGGTACATTTGAGAATTAGATAAAGAAGGCAGAAACACTTAGTGTGCCTACATACTATGCCATTTCTCTCTTTTTTGCCTTCTAATTAATTAAAGTGTTGCAATGGTCAAGAAAATGGATCGTGCTAATAAACAACAAGTAATACAACTTCATAAGGAAACTAAAAAATCAATTTAAAAATCAAATCAAAATAAAGCTTTCAAAATAAATTCAATACACAAATCAAACACGTCTTTAAAATGTAATATAACTTGTTGCAACATATAAAAAATAAAATAGAATGGCCCATTCAACGTCAAATCAAAATAAAACTAAACCCTATAAGACTAGGTTAAAAGCCCATCAGTGGCACAGCGGTATGTCTGTGGACTTACTAGAAACCTGGTTTTGATACCCGTGTTGGGCAGAGCACAGATAGCCCATTGTGTAGCTTTTTGTTTAATTCCAAACAAACAAACTAACTTAAAAATGTAAAATGAAACATACTCTTTAAAGGTCACATCAAAATACAAAATGAGACATATGCTATGACATTATATATGAAGTGAAAGCTCCAGAAAGGCACATCAAAAACAAGATGAGCTAAAATCAAGAACATATCAAAACTGTTTATTATAAAATAAAAGCAAAACAAATCACTTTACATCATATTAAAAACATCAGGTAAAGTACAATATTTACCATTAGAAAAAAATAAGCCCTCTTACTTGAAATCAGAATAAAATTACATATTAAATATAAAAGAGCTCTTTTCAAGAGCAAAAATTCAAAATAGAATAATCTTTCATAAAAAGCAAACATATCAAAACTAGAGGGGCACTCAATGGAGCGCATATCTCCGCCACGCAGCGCTGCCCTAAAAAAATACGCAAATGTGTCCGTCGTTATCAATGGACACAGACCATTTTTGGCAGACAATAATATTCTACATATATCCACCAAGTTTCATCATTTAATTTAATCATTTTTGACTGAGATATAGAACAAACATAGTGTGGAAAATCGGTCCCCATGTTCGGTGACGGAGGTAATAAACCATTTGACAATAAACATAAATTAAACTCTTCTAGAAAAACAAAAAGCAAAACATAGTAAAATAGATCCTTTAATATAAAAATAAAACACATTAAATAAAAATTAACAATCAAACATGTCACATAAAAGAGATGCATACATTTAAATCAGAATACATTTAGCATAAACCTACAGAACAAGCCATCTGCGTTGTTCCACCAGGGGAACGAACCCCGTATTTTAGCATTGAAAGACCGTAATCTTATTTCTGACTGACTGAAGGACTGAACAAGAATACAAGTTAAACTAGAGAGACACTCAGTAGAGCACATAACTCAACCACCCAGTGTTGTTCATATTCGACTCTAAAAAAATATGAAAATGTGTCCGTCGTTAACAACGGATAGGAATACTTCTGGCAGACAATGAAGAATAA